GGGAAAGAGCTAAGTTCTCTTTTAATTGTGCTCTTGGAATACATTCATATACACAGAGAAATAGAAGTTTTAAGAAGATATTATTGCATTTGACATTTCCAAACAGAAAAATTAAATAGTGGAAAATCTACCTGAGAAACATAATTTTACAAATTTTTATTGCAAAAAGTTGTCAGTAAAAATGTCAGTTTCATGCAAAATATTTATGCATTCTTTACACAGATCATTCATAGGTGTAAAGGTATATACAGGGAAGGAAAGTATAAATCAAATTGTTTCTAAAATAAAGAGAAGTGGGCTTTTTTCCAGGTTTGTTTTCTAGCTCACATACTAGTTGTACTCTCTCACTCTCTCACATATTACAGCATGCACTTCTGTCTATTGCTTTCTTTCCTCTCTGGACATAAGCTTTCTGAGGGCAACGTCCTCACTTGTTTGCTAACACAGCCCCAGTGCTTAGATTAGTACCTAACAGAAGCAGAAATGCAGGAGGTTCTCCTTCATTAAAAAATTGTAATAAATTTATCTTAATATATCTAGATAAATTGTAAAAGGTTTAGGTTTCAAACTTGGTTGTTTTCCAAAAGTTTCTTTTAAAGGGAATTCTTTGGATTGAAATATATGGTAGTTTCTCAGTCACTTCTATGGATGAAAAGGTGATAGACTGCCCAGAGGGTGACTGCAATAGTGCCAATTCATGTAAAAAATCAATCTGAAAAGTCAAGCAATTATATTATTGGTATTCAAAGAACATAAAAAATTTAAATACTGATAATTATGAAAAACATATTTAACTAAAGGAAATGAGTAACTTCTCATCAAACATAAGATTTGGGAGTCGTTTTCAGAATTGAAAGTGATTTGATACATCACCTACTCGAAACTTAACAAAAGTAGGCATTGCCTTTGAAAACAAGCCTGTCAAAGATCATCCAAACTATGTGTGAATATTTCCAATGACATAAACTAACTGCATTATAGGGTATCACCCCTAATATATAAGTTTGAGCTTGTTCTACAATTTCTATAGCTTTATTTTAATATTTTTCTATCATCTAATATCTGCCAATGTTTATCATTTTGCTTTTTGAATGTATGCTGGGTAAATATAACCTTCTACAGAGAGCTCATCAATTATTTTCGGGAAACCACTAAGTCCTTCCTTAGTCCTTCTACCTATGCTAAATATCCTTAATCCTTTCAATCCATCCTATATGGCTTTGTTTCTGGATCTCTTGCCAGGTCAATAGCTCTGTATACACTCGAGCTTGACAATGTCCAGGGCTAGATTTCTTATTAGTTAGCTATCAGAATATAACAAACATGTCATACTCAGGGTTTATGAGAACAACTAGTTGTTAACACTCGTGACTCTACATGTCAAGTGGTTCTTGTGTCTCAGCAGAGCTTATTCTTGCATCTCTGGAAAGCTGTGCATCAGCCAGGCAGTTTTGGTGATGTCTGGGCTTCTTCACATGTTTGAATGACCACTAGTTGCAATCAGATATATGAAGACTTATCTGGGACAACTGATTTCCCTTCTATATGGTCTTAATCTTTGGCTAGCTTAGGTTTGCATGAATCTTGAGAGAGAAGCAGCAAAAGGACAATTGAGACCTAAGCTCAGGACTGGAACCATGTCATTCTGTTGCATTCTATTCATCAGTCCTTGTCAACAAGTCAGCTCAGATTCAATAGATGTAGAGGAATACCCTACTTCTTCATGGAAGGAGCAACAATGTCACTTGACAAAGGTGATCAATATACAAAGAGAAAAAATTAGAACCATTTTTGCAATACATCTTCTATAATTTCGAATAGCTAGACTAAGCACATGTTCAGTGCACTAGAAAAATAGGAACAAAGAGGAAACAGAGGAAAAGGATAGAGTTTGAAAGCTGAAAGAGTTTGATATTTTATTTATTGAAATAATTAGCTTGAAAATAATTAGGATTTAACTGGGTAATTATGCTTTAAATTTTTTTATTATAACAATATTTTTTCTTTGTTTTTTTTTATTATTTTTCTCATTCAATACTGTACATCTTTACAGCATACAAAATTAATTTTCTCAGCATGAACATACTGTATATTAACCCATTCATATTATGCTATTTTTTAAAATTGCCATCGATAACTATTTTCAGTGATGGGAACAGTGAAAAGCCTTCAGAAGATCCTGTTGTTGGGCCAGTCTTTCAGTGCTTCTGGCTAATATGTTACTCCTACCTTTTAAGTGGCTTTCCTGAAATATAGCCCACAAAATTTGGCTCAAGTTCCAAAATTTACAGAGATACTGAAAGGACCAGTGCAACATTTGTAAGGATTTTAAATATCTATGTTACCAGTTATTTATGTGGAATGCATGTTTATCAGTTAGAGCTTCTTCAGGAACGCAGGACCACTGGGAATTATGTGAATTCATTGATTACTAGATGGATCAGACCTGATGAAATAATGGAAACTGGTGATATATCTACGAATGACAGCTGCCTCTGCCTCTGGTGGTGGGTGAAGCAGTTAAAGAGCAGAGCCAGCCTGCACGAAGAAGATCCAGGTATGAAGCAGGAGAAGGCTAAGACAAAGGAGAACCAGGAAGGAAGAACAACGAATTAGACCCATATTTCTCTCTCACCGGTGAGAGTCACTCCAACCTCAATGACCTGTGTTATCTGCCAAAAGGCTGATGCCTTTTGCCACCAATATGAATAATCATCTCACTCCAAAACAAGCTCAAGAGATCCCTCGGTAGCTGAAGGAGCTACAGGCCCTACTCTGACAAGACATCAGCCCCTCCATGCAATAGTTACAGTGCTACCTGATGCCAATCCCTGGCCTTCAGAGTGGAATGACTGTATTTTACTTCCTTCTTCCAAATCTCACATAAATATCTTTTGTGGCTGGCTCGAATCCCTGCCCCAGATGACTTAACACATGCTAGATGCACACAGGTGCCCCAGATCCTGAGGAGCTGGAGGCCTGGAGAAGGCAGATGACAGCAGGAGGAGTCCCTGTTGAGGGTGGCCTTCCTCTCTCTCTCCACCTCTCTCTCTTTATTCCCTTTATCTTTCTCTTGTGTACACATGCACGTGTTGTCTATCATAAATAAAAATAAATTAACTTTTTAAGAAATAGAAAGAAAAAGGAATTGGTACGTTCAGGCACACATATTCCTATCAAAATAAGGGAGAAATACTGGTAGGTATTAATGTGTGGCTGATTTTTATAATTTGACCCTTCTATATTTTCTTTATACTCAGCAAGCTCCTAAGTAGGTCATGGTTCGTGGTCACCCAGAAGGGTGGCACAAACCTTCATCTCTGAAAGGTCTGGGCTTTAGCAGCCCAGTTTATATTGAGCCGTATTTTCCCATTAACTTTATACAGAACACGAGAATCCCAGGGTGTCTACTTCATTCCAGGCATACGTCTCCCTACCCCATAGTTGAACTTAATTTCTCCTGAAGAGTCAGGATCAATTTTCCCAGAGTACAGTAACCCCATTCTTTGCCAATAGATTCACTGTCATAAGAATTCTAAACTAGCCAAGTAGTGGTCTCAACTTCGAGTTTAATTGAATAATTGCTGTGCCCCCCTGGTGGAAGTCATTATCCCTTGGGAACAGAGACATAAAGCAACAGAGCCCAAGGGCAGGAAGAAGAATTGTTACAGGTGACTTATTTATGAGGGGTAGGAATAAGAGAATGACCCCCAACTTTACATCTTATTTCCTGAGTTATAAATGTTTGCTTTGGGAGAAACATCACCAAATACTGGTCAGCAATTTATAAGATACGCACAGCCCCGCAACGTGGTCCACTAAGCTGGCCAAAGAAAGGCATCTTCTTACTTTTCACTGTTCTGCTGTGCCAGCTGCTTCAAGGTGATGGACCTCAAAGGAAATAAATGCATCCTATAGCATGAACCCATTTTCAAATACATCAACTTATATTTCAACCTGGAAGGCATATCTCAACATGTCCTAGACACTTGGACTCTAAACATCCCACTGATGGGCAAACCATTGAATGGTGGCATTAATGTCCTTTCTTCCAGTACACATGTCTATTATCAATGCACCTAGAGAAGTGGCTTTTCCTTCTCCCCATGTCCAGTGAGAATTCTATCCTTAATGGGATGGATTAGTAACATTCTAAAATGGAAAAGTCATTGAAATGTCTATGCACAAGATCAAGACATTAGTCTACAAAGCTAATATTGCCCTGTACTAGGACAATGAAGACATATTTCTGGCCCTTCCAGGAGGGAAATTAAAGTAAACATTTCCAAATACAGTGATGGTATATACACATCAAGACATTTTTTATATCAGTTGGTGTGTGCTAGGTACTAAAGAGCATGTCTATTGCCTCAGTATCAAAATCACATATGAAACGGTGACTACAATTGAAGTCACCACCTGATTAAGTTTCTGATAATCCACTGTCATTATAAAAAAAAAATCCACCTATTTTCTGTGCACCTATTTCTGTGCAAATAGGTGGACGAGATGGGGATGAGTGAGATTCACCACACCACACCTGTCCAAAGGGATGATGGCACTGATCTCTGCAAGACTCCTGGAAGGTAGAATGGTTTTCTATTTTGCAGGAAGAAGCAGTTCTTGTGGCCTCTATATCTTTCCTAACATAATGGCCTTTGTACTCCTTTAAGAAGAAATAAAATTATCCCATAAGTCGAAGCTGGCAGGTGGCATAGTGGTTGGGATGCTAGATTCCAACATGGCTACCTGTGGTTCAAGTCCTGGACCTGGTGGCTTGCTTTCTTGGCTTTCCTTTTCTCTCTGCATGTATCTCGCTCTCTGGTTAAATTCAAAAA